ATATAGACTCCTCTCGGTTTGTCAGTAGAGATCCCTTCTGCTAAAAAACTCCTTTAAATTGTCTATATAGGCCTACTGCATATTGTCTATAGATACGTTCTTCGGCTCATATATAAAGACTATTTTCAGCTTGCCAGTATAATACTAGAGGCCTTTTTCAGCTTTTCTATGAGGACTCCCTTCAGTTCATCAAGTTCTTTAGCTCTCTTAAAAAGTCTCCTTTCAGCTCGTCTATAATGACTTCCTTCAGCTCGCCTGTAAAGACTCCCTTCAACTCGTCAATAAAAAGTCCCTTCAGCTCGTCTGTAAAGACTCCCTTCAGCTCGTCTGTAAAGACTCCCTTCAGCTCGTCTGTAAAGACTCCCTTCAGCTCGTCTGTAAAGACTCCCTTCTGCTAGTCTATAAAGACATTCGTAAGTCCACATTTAGCTTGCTTATAGATTCCCTTGATTTAACCTGTCTATTAAAAACCCCCGAATTAAAATATTCCAATTAAATCTGTTTTATTGTTCGATTTCCATACAAATCGTCCATATAATCTTGGAAAAGTTTAAGCATTTATTTTTTTTATTCTTCTTCACGCCAATAGTCGTTTACCATATAATAGTGCTAATTTCTTACATATTGTAGTTTATATCAATAGTTTTACTCCCATTCAGTGGATTTTGTCAATGTACAAAGTACATTTTCCATTAGCATCGATAGCAGACAAAAAAATCTTCTTATATATGTTTTGTTTTTCCTTTTGCCTCCCCTTCTCCTTTTGTTTCAAGTTTTTCAATTTGCTCTGTCTCAAGTATTTGCCATTTATATCCTTATGTCGAGTTTTGTTTTTTTCTCCTATCTGATGCTCAATGTCATATCATGATGCGAGGTTGTGCGTTGTGCTTCCCATTTCAACATAAGTGTCATTTAAACTTTATCTTCATTCTACGGACTCATTCCAAAACGGCATACTTGTGTTCCAATCAATTGCATGCTGCAGCAACTACAAGGGCAAGCGACATCTTAGTCACCGAGTAGCTAAAAAAACTAAACTATTATCTCAAGAAGGAGAAATAGAAAAACACACTGCTAATACACAATTCCTAGCATTACACTTACACCAAGCTGCAAGAAATGCAGTCAAACACTTTCAAAACTCACACGTTTAGTAACACAAAAAGAAAACAAAAAACTATTTCAAACCCTAAAATAAAATGGCAAAGACATTGCAGTGGCATACACACTGACTTTGATGGTATAGGAACCATGCAATAATGATGATGAAGTTATTTCATTCCTTGCTATTGTGTCACATTCCCATTCTCAGAAAAAATGTGTTGTTTTTTGTAATATTCTTCACTCATAGATGTCAATATGAGTGTGTGTGTTTCATTTCTCTTTTGTTTTCAATGAAAATGTTTACGTTTGGATCAGGATTATATGTGGTTTAACAAAACACTCACACGTATGCGTTCACATATCAAACATACATAGGAAAAAAGGTGTATGGATTTGATGAGAGTAATCTCAAGCATTTTATATAACCTCTCCTTGAAAATATTCTAAAGGTATTAAAAAATATATTTACCTCAAAAAAAAAAATCTAAAAGATCACACATTCATTTGAAGCAACTGAAAACCCATTGACACACGCACACATCAATAAATATGTGAGAACCTATTTCTTTACTCTCTGCCTGATCCTGATTTAATTGACACACATCAATCTCTATATCAGTTATAATTCGCACTCTCAATTCAAGTCATTTGAATTGTTGTCTCCTCTCTTCTTAATATAACGAAAAAAAGAATGCATTAAATGAGCGGAGTCGTTTGAATATTAACACATTTAACGGCAATTGAACGTATGACATTAAAAGAGAAATAAAAGTTGGCAACGCCATACCGATAAGTCAGAGTTCTTTATAAATGTAGTCATCGCCGTTGTGTTTTAATGAATCTGGTAACGGCTACTTGCTTAACATGAAAAATAATTGAATACAAATATTGAGCAGTTTAATGATTTTTTTATTAAACTTGTAATCAATAAGAAGCAATAACAAATAAAAGTGGACTAATTGGTTATTTTTAAATTGTTTTATGGGGAAAATTATTACCATTTTGTTGCAGTCACAATTTGCAAAACTAAAGCAATGTTTGCACCTTATTGGGGCAAGTTTGTGCTAATTGAAAAATAAAACCCGTGCAACTATGAATATTGCTCGTCGTTCTTTGAAATTGCACAATCCACAGGAGTCATTAAATCTTTTTTATATAAAGACATTAAATCGTTTTTATATAAGTAAAGTTCGGCTAACACAAAGTGGGTCGTAGAACTGAATTATTCGGAATTACATCAAAATTATATCGTGACTGATGATACCAATATCCACTTTGGCGATTACAACAATAATCGAAAAGCCTACAGTTTTTGCTGAAAATCCTCTTCATGCTCAACATGTCCTTTTCGGTGCGGTTTATGGCCCGATACGGCGTTTGGATCAACACTTAAGGTAAATGGATTACGCTTTTGAAATATGATTAATGATTTTTATTAAAACCCGAACTGTTTTCTTAAGTGGTTGATATATGAGTCGTTTATTTTGAAAGTGGTCTAAGTCCATTTTAGGTTCTTATACAAATCTTCGATTTGTATAAAAGTAAAAAACATGACACATAACAATATTTTTGAAACAAATCGAACCCAAACCTTTAAAATTCGCAATATAAGAAAAAATGGACTCAAAAGTAACGACTCATATTGTGATTTAAAACCTTTCAACTACTTCCTGTGGGGCCTAGTGAAAGATAAGTCCTAAGCCTTCTTTCGATTCAATGATTAAAATAGAGAATTCGATAGGGGAATGAGGAGATATGGCTGGTAAATTTCCTGTGGGGCCTAGTAAAAGATAAGTCCTAAGCCTTCTTTCGATTCAATGATTAAAATAGAGAATTCGATAGGGGAATGAGGAGATATGGCTGGTAAATTTCGATTGGTTATGCACATTTCATGAAAAGGATACGCTCTTAAGCGTATTCGGGGTAGCTGATATAGATTTTTTATATAAACTCATTTAGCGCTACTGTCCTTTTTAAAGAACATCAAAAATATCAGCATCGCTGATAGAAAGGAAACGTCATTTCAGCAAATTTCTATAAAATCTCACATTTAAAGGTTATGCCATCTTCAATACTCCCTTAGACTTATAATAATTTCAATTTTATTCAAATATTCTAAATTTATAACAAAATATTTACATTTTAAAATTAATTTTTTAGACCTTTAAAGTAACCCGGTGCTTAACTGGGTTACTTTCATATCTTTCTCTTTTTATATCAAAAGCCGTCCCCATAATTTATATAAAGAATATTTTTTCTTTAAATAACTAAATAACACATCTTATTAGAAAACCCTGTACCTTGTGACGCATCTCAAGCATCCTTGAAAATATTCCAATCAGAAATTGTTAAGGGGCTATTATTCAAAACTGTAATTTCTTTTATACACAAGTCATCAAAATTCAATCATGTCCACATGATATCTAAATAACGTAGTAATTGGAAATGTTCAAATATTAGACCTATCATAATTTTTTCTGAAAATCTGTAATATTAAAAAAAAAAACGATTTATGTTAAGTCTATTTTTCTCACATATTCCTCATAAACTACAGTTTTCCTCTAATGAAAGAAGAGTCACTATTTACTCTCCACAATGAGAGTGTCAAACTACTTGAGCCCTCTTCAATTTCTCAAACATTACTTGTTTACAATTTTCTATTTTGGTTAGTAAACAAAAGACAAAAATGACAACAAAAAGCCCCCTCTTTAACAAAACAACAGGTGTTACGCATGATTTTTCCCAATAAGATTTTCTCATATAACTGAGATAAGCGAGAGAAGAGAGTCTTTGAGAGCCATCTTCACTATTCCCCACTAAAGAGCGAAATGGTTAAGTGGCGCTGTGTGATTGAATAGCTTATACTAAAATATGGGTTAAAAAGAAAGCAGCAGAAACAACAACAGCATTAAATGGATGGGTAAAAGGTACTACTAAAACAAAAGACAACGTCATGCCCTGCGGCTTAAAATTGAACGGCTAAGACACAGCATTTCAAAGGTAAAAAGATAACTGCATACGATTAAACTATTTCATTCAAAAGTTGACCACTTATAGAGAAAGACGTTTATAAAATTACTTGGTTTCTTGTACAACATAATCACAACAATAACAACGAACCAACCAACAGGCATTGGGCAATATTTCGTTAAGAACAAGTTTTTGTGTTACGGCCAGGCCTAAGAACAAGAAAAAATAAACTAACTGCACATGGGAGAGCCGCCAACCAAGGCAGCCAGCCAGCCAGACAGCCAAACAAAAATAATTGAAGTGAGCCTTGAACAGAGAGTTAGTTACTTGTCATTGAGGGAGTGAGTGCATGAATGGCTCCAAGACAAGAAAACCAAGTGGATTTTTGTTAAAAATGTGCACAGAGTCGGGCTTAGTTTCAAACGAATAAGACGTGGCATTCGGTCGGTCGGACACAAACGGTCAACAGGAAACCGAAAAAAAACACAATCAAACACAAAAAAATCTGCATAAATTGAAATTGATGCAAAGAAAAATTACAACAAAAATATTGATTCATGAATTCAAGAATTCAAAACCAACAACGCATCTTGTATTTACATATGTTGTACCTGGATGTCTAGGAAATTAATTGGAGGAAAAAGTGAAAGTGTGAACTTGCCAAGAAAAACCCCAAAATATTTCATCAAAGATACATTAATAACAAGTTTTCAGTCATTCGCTACAACAGCGACAACAACACTAAAAAACAATAAGCCCGAATGAAAGAAAGAAGGGTGTGTGCGTATGTGTTTGTGTGATCAACAACAACAAACAAGTTAAAACTTTAATTTTTATAAAGTCGCAGCGCTTGCATGCTGACGTAAAAGAAAGTTCACAGCCACAACCTTTTTTATGAATCTTCTTTCACTAATTTTATCTCTTCGATGTCTACATCTCCGAACAAAAACGTGCAAAGGCGTAAAAATGCCAAATCCAAATCAAATCACCCAAATGACCGAGATCAGCTAATGAACTCAACGGCAAACGAAAGACTTCAATCGGACAGAGAAAACAACAAGCACCACCAGCGAAGTGGTGGTGGTGCGGGAGAGAGGCCAGCGGCAGCGGCAACTATTGCCGCACTGAATATTATTCAAGCTAGAGCACATAGCTTATGCAATGGCGGTGGCTTAATAACTCCATTCATCAACTGTTGCCGCGATGTAAATTGTTGTTGTCTAAATGCTAATTCTTGCCATTCATGCCAAACAGCAAATACCTGCCATGTAATACCAACAACAACTATAACTAACGCAGCCACTGTCGCAGCAGTAACGCCAGTCAATGATTTAAGCCGTTCTCGTTCAGGTTCTAGCTCTCGAGTGGAGGCAATCTCAGAACCGGTGAAAGAAAAATCAAGAGAACCTAGTCAAAGCAGAGAGAAATTAATAGAAGCTAATGGCAAAACAGCGAAAGTGTTAGAAGACGAAACAAAGCCAACAACGACAACATCAAAAATAACAGCCATAACAACAAAAAAAGAAATAACCCCAACACCGGAAAAAGGAATTGAAACCTCAACACCCGCCACCGATACGGAAGATAAACGTTTTATCTTAACAGTTGACTTGGATCTGTTTTCATGGCTTTTATTTGCCCTGGCATTTGCAACACGTTTCTATAGACTCACCTATCCGCGCAATGTTGTCTTTGATGAGCTGCACTATGCCAAATCGGTGGCCCATTATATGCGCAATCAATTCTTCTTCGATACCCATCCACCATTGGGTAAACAATTAATTGCCGCTGTGGCCGATTCAATTGGCTATGATGGCAACTTCACGGCCACAAATATTGGTTCATCATATCAGGCAACATTTCCCCTATTTTGGATGCGTTTTTTACCAGCCCTATGTGGTAGTCTCTTGCCCTCCGCGGTTTATAATCTAATCAAAGAAACCGGTATATCACGTTGGGCATCCGTTTTGGGTGGCCTAATGGTACTCTTCGATAATTCCATGTTAATACAATCACGCTTGATATTGATGGAGTCGATGTTGTTGTTGTTCTGCACATTGGGCCTTTATTTTCTGATGCGTTTTCAAAAGACCAAAGTAATGTATATCGGTTGGATATTAAACGGTTTGGCATCGGCCACATTTTTGACATTTGCATTCAGCGTAAAATATGTGGGATTTTTTACCTATTGTTTGGCAATCTATTTGATAGTGAAATATCTGTGGGATCTGCTGTACGATGCTACAAAGACAAGTAAGTTGGAAAAAAAGTGTGTAACATTATTTTTGGTATGGAAGTGTGTTAATGAACTGTGAACGTTGAGAATTGTTACAGAATTGAGAATTAATCTGTTGCAGACATGAATAGAAGGAACTGCATAATAGATCAAATTATCAGAAAATTAAAGACCTTCTATGGGACTTCAGGAGAATTTCTATAAACTATATATTTTAATGACCCCCACATAGTCAATTAAAATCCCACTTTTTATGAAAGATAATGTCGTTTTCTAAAGTATAAATTATGGAATTGTTTACCAGCCCCTTGACCCATAATAAAACCATTAAGGAAAGTAGTAAAGTCGGAACCGATTTTCACACATCATTTATTCAGTACGCAATGCAGAAATTCGTGCAAATCGGAAGATATATAGAGGCTTTGGTACACCAATAACATATATTCCGATGAATAATACACATGGGAGCTATATCTAAATCTGATCCTATTTTCTCGAAACTTGACAAAAGTCTTCCTAGACTCAATTCAGTACACTATGTAAAACTTCGTGCAAATCGAAAGATATATAGGGACATTGAAGCACCATTTACATAAAATCGGACGGAAATATATATGGGAGCTATATCTAAATCTAACTCGATTTTACCCGTAACTATTCAAAAATATTTCCACGATCGAAAATGTCATAACAGGACCTATTTTGAAAAGAATCTCAAAAGGAAACATGGGTCTATATCCTTCCTAACTTTTCTGTTACAAAATTATGCACAATACCTTCAAATTACCGTGGGGTACCATTATATGGTAGTCATTTATTGCATTTTCAATACGTCCTTAGAGTAATAACAACATTTATCCATACCAATTCATAATTGATTTATTATCCTAGGAAATCATCAAATCACCCTTTTTATTTATTTTATTTTTAAACCCTATTTTCTTTCTTTTCAGATACCTATATAATACTCCAAACGGTTGGCAATATCATCATCTTTACCATAGTACCAATTGCCGTATATTTACTTATATTCTATATGCACCTAACCACCCTCTACAAAGCCGGACCACATGATGCCATTTTAACGAGCGCCTTTCAAGCCTCACTGGAAGGTGGACTCGCCTCAATAACACAAAATCAGCCACTCAAAGTTGCCCATGGATCACAAATTACCCTAAGACATACACATGGTGCCTTGTGTTGGTTACACTCGCATGCCCTTGTCTATCCGGTACGATATCCAGATGGTCGTGGGTCATCACATCAACAACAGGTTACATGTTATCCCTTTAAGGATGTTAACAATTGGTGGATTGTCAAGAAACCTAAATATGATGATATTGTTGTGGGTGAGAAACCACAATATATACGTCATGGTGACATTATTCAATTGGTACATGGTATTACAAGTCGGGCTCTAAATAGTCATGATGTGGCCGCGCCTATTACGCCCACATGTCAGGAAGTTTCTTGTTATATTGACTATGGTATCGATATGAAACCGGAGCTGTTGTGGAAAGTCGATATTACAAATAGACATAAGGTAAAAAACAATTAAGAAATTGTTCAATATTGCAGGTTAATGAAAGAAATTTGTTTTTGTTTATTGTAGGAAGGTTCCATTTGGAAAACCATTAAATCAGAAGTACGTCTAATACACGTATCCACAGGGGCTGCCTTGAAATATACCAATAAAGTTTTACCCGACTGGGCCTACAGTCAACAAGAAGTTGCGGCCGATCGTGATACAAACGGCAAGGATGTTATTTGGAATGTTGAGGAGCATAGATATACAAGGGGTAAATAAATACATCTTTTAGAATTTAATCCCTATTAATCATCCCTTAATTTGCTGACAGATTCCGATAGAGCCGAACGTGAACGAAAACTCATGACGGCCGAAATGATTCCCATGGAACCAACGAAGCTATCATTCATCAACAAATTTCTGGAGCTACAATATAAAATGCTTGTACACGATACCCAAGTCGGTAATCATATGTACAGTTCAGATCCCTTGGATTGGCCCCTATTAAGTAAAGGCATTGCCTATTGGGTATCAGATAAATCCAATGCCCAAATCCATCTGCTGGGAAATATTCTCATCTGGTATACCTGTACCCTGGGCATAATTGTCTATTTCGGTCTATTCATTTTCTATTTATTACGACGTCAACGTCTCTGCTATGACATCGATGAAAACGAATGGAATCGTCTACTCACTGTCGGCCATATCTATTTTATTGGCTATCTAATACATTATATACCATATTTCACAATGGACACTACCCTATTTCTGCACAACTATATGCCAGCATTTCTATACAAAGTACAATTACTCTGCTTTGTTGTCGATCACATTGAATATTTACTCAGGCGATTTTATGGTTCCTCCAAATGGATTGTAAACTCATATCGTTTGGCCGTGCTGACATGGTTTGTGGCCGTTATTAGTGTCTACATACGTTTCCTGCCAATTAGCTATGGCTGGAAGCCACTCACAATCCAAGATATACTCGATTTACGGTGGAAGGACACATGGGACTTTGTAATACATGCAACAATAAAGCACCGTGTGCCGTAAATTCCAGTGCTCAGGAGACCTCATTGTAAATATATATGTAGAAATTTTGAGTATTTGTCTAGTTAGTTGCTGTTAAATGGAAATAAAATATTATATATGTAGATGATTTTGAGAAGTATGTTTGTATAATTATTAAGTCATAGCTAACTCATAAATATAGATTTTTTTATAGAATTAAAGAATTATTATTTAGATTGTGAATTTTTGTTATAAAAAATAAATGAAAACATTTTTATATAATTTTTGATACTCGAAATTAAAACAAAAAGTGTTTCTATTCTAAAGGGATTTTGTATCGAATCTTAAATTCTTATACTATTTTTTCCTAATACTATCTTCCTTCACTGCTCTATTTCTATTTTACATTGAAACTATATTTTGTTTTTGCTTTTCTTGGTAGCCATAACCAATTGTATTTACAAAAAAAATATTGTATTCAATAAACATATAAACCTTAAACTAATACTAATAATTATGAAAACAAATAGATCTTAATGAAATAATAATAATATTTCGTGCAAGTTATTCTAAACAAAAATTAAAGAATAGAAATTTATTCATCAGTAGCAAATACCAATTGATAAATTTCGTTTAAAAATAAAAGGCATAGCCTCTTTGGACATAACTTAATCCCATATCGGAATCTGGAGGAAAGTCGTTTAGTAATTTTATATACTTTTGTGTAGACCAAAACGAGAGATTCTGCAAAGACAAAAAAAGTATTGGAACTATCAAATACCAACCAATATATTGTAGATATTTCTTAAACATACGAAATGGAACTTATACATAAAATAAAAAATAATTCTAAAGATCTTCTATAAATCATGTCGATCAACCAAAAAACTAAACCTTTTTAAATTTTGTTTGAAATTTAGCATGTCTTCATTAATAATTTATAACATAGATAAATTAATTTTGTTTTTGCAAAATAGTCAAAATAGACTATCCCATAGATTGTTGTTTTTATAAATAATAAATTAATTTTGCAAAAAGACACTTACCTTTTCAATTTCCGCCTCTAAGCCGGACATTCTATAATATACACACAATTTATGTGATCTCTTTTCACTTTCCAAATACCGTGTCAAGGCATTTAATAGTGACTTATCCAAATTCAGACAATAGCTGATATCAAGATGTTTTAATACAGGACACAAATGTAACATATCCAAAATGGCAACTGCTTCCAAATTCTCTGAATGTCGAAGACACAAAATTTCCAAATGGGCAAAATTACAATTTTCATATTTTGTTGCATTAAAGTTGTAATTGCATAGAGCCAATATACGCAATTTCTCCGGATTCAAGCAAAGAAAATCCACATTCCATGTTGAACTCACCGGTAGAAAATGAAAATCCACAGCTAAACCTTCAATGCTGGGACCTTTTTCTTTTAAAATGTGATAGTATTCTTGAGTTTCATAGATCTTATAATCATAGGTGTCAACATTGCCAATTAGCGACACATCAATATCTTGATCGAGCAGGACTTTTAGTTGTTTCAATTGTGGCAGTTTCAATACATATTCTAGTACATCTTTCAGGGTATTTAAATTCAATTTCAATACTTGTAAACAACTGCATTCCACTATGTCAGGCATTAGACGCAAACGACTCGTTTCAAAATTCCGTATATCCAAAACCCGCAAATGTTTTAAATTCTTAAGTATATCCCTGAGAGCATCATCCTCAATTTCCTTTGGTTTTGTCTGTTCATCGTACAAATATAGCTCTTCTAAATATTGGAATTTCGATAGATTCCTTCCTGTAATGGGTACGGTTATTTGGAGGTATTTCAAATTAGGCACTAATCTGCTTAAACATTCAATATCCTCATCACTGGGATAGCATTCGGTGACATCGTCGTGAAATTCACATCTCTCTACGCGGTGCAGACATCGAATGCCACATTCTTCCATTTCCTTGAGAAAAACATTAAGGCAGTCATCGATTATTTGCAGTGTTCGGAATTCATCTTGCATCAAATGCAAGTAATATGCCAAAAGGTCATAGTTTTGTACAATGGTGGGCAAGATGTTGTAGGCCAATGTTCGATGCTGAGGTTGCCTTCGCCATAAATTCAGCATAACATTACGAAAACGTCTACAACATTTGGCAATTTGTATTTGACTTGGTAGATCCTGTATCCATTCAAAAATGCATTCCAAGCAGTCGTCGTTTAAGTCATTTATGGTAGTGCTGGGGGATGCTGTTGCCGCCGTTGCTGCTTCCGCTGCTATGCAGCTTTCTATAAAATAGAAACAATAACAATTGTTATTTTATCAAATCTTTACTGCTTTCATTCAGGAATAAAGATGGGAGTGGTACCTTCTTTGCAATCATCCATTGCAATTGTTGGTTGTTATTTGTTTGTGTAAAAATTACCAAATCGTCATTTAATTTCTTTCTTTTGAGCAACAAAAAAACGTCAAATGCCTAGAAAGCGTATAAGTTGACAATACCGTTCAGAACAGCTGTTTGCTTAATTCACTTTGAATTGATAACAACTGACAACTGAGAGATGCAGCCAAACATCATTGATTATAATTTAAATAAAGGGAATTCCGAAAAAAAGATTTATGGATTAAACGAAAAAAAAATTAATACATTTTCTTTCTTTTGAAACCTATATTAATAGTTATCTTAGTTTGATAATTATTAATATTTGCATTTTTTTATTATATATGAATTATGTTAAATTTTAGGCAGTTTATTGTTTATGTAATACATTTGTATGGCCTTATGAGGCTCTGATGTTACATTATGAATTAAATAAATAAATATACTGTGAACTCTCGATAATGTGAATACTCAAACTGACAAGATTAGGAAATTAGCGGTAAATAAGCTGATCGAATCGAAAATGTGAACAAATTGTAAATTTTAAAAACTACCCCGAAATTAAATAGTTCGCATTAGTTCACGGTATTGGATGTTCACATTATCGAGGGTTCACTGTATTTTACAAATTTTTAGTTAATTCAGTAGTTTGTAAAATATACGTTAAAAAATAAAAAAAAATAATTTGTACAGGCATTCGTTTTATTTTTATTGTTATTATTTTCAAACTGAAAAGACAGTTACATTTGAATACAACTCTTCAGCTGTCATATTGGTCAAAAAACAAAAACAAATGTTTGTCACATCGCTGTCCCACCACGTTCATGGTCATTGCTATAAAACATGAATAAATTTAAACAATAGCCAATACGAGGAGCAACAACAACAAACATATAAATAAATTTATATGTTTGCATGTATGGCAATACACATAAGTGTCAGCACACAGAAGATCAACATTTTTGTTGAGCAAACTAGCCAAAAGTATTTAGTTATTCAGTGATTAAAGAAGTGTTAACATAAAAAATCAACCTTTAGAATAAAAAAGTAAAATAGGAATAAATTAATTTGCATAAAATCTATTAAAACGTGGAAGTTGTGAATGATCTAAAATTGAAAATATTTTCGAATATTTTTTTGTTTTTATTTAAAAAAAAACATATACAAATTCCAAAAAGAGTTTTCATTATTTGTTCAAGAGTCTGCCTATGTGTGATTACCTAATTAAACAAAAATAAACAAGAGATTAATTTATAATTATTATTTGCGCTCTCGAAATACGAAAGTGAAATTTTGTTGTTATATTTGTTCTCCCTTTCATTTGTTTTCAGTTTAAATAAACATCATCATCATCATTATTGTTATCTGCAATTAGCTTTTGTGCAAAATAAAATAAAAACAACGAAACTAACGTAACGTATCCCCCACAAAAGAGCACAACAACCATTTAACTGTAAAGTGCTCTCAATTTTTTAAACGCGAGTGTATTATATTTGACAACTTTGTCAAGTTTTGCAAAACGAAGAGAGTCTGTGAGTGTGTGAGAGAAAAATATTTCTTTCACAAAGTTTTTTTGATTTTTTCCTCTGTGCTCAAGTCATTTTAATTGTCAAACTGGCGGTCGACGGATCTGGCATTTTCGACATGCTGAAATTTTTGGTAAATATTTTGCTTCATTTTTATTTTTTTACGAACTTATTATCATCTTTTTGTGTATGTGCAGTGAATATGGATTATTAACGGGGTACTCCTTGTTATTGATATAAAGATATTTGGCATATTTTTGCTGTCACTTATCTCTTGATTCCAAATACGCCTTGGCAATTTGTTATTGTCAGCAGCTCTCGTATTTTTTTTTATTTTTGGTTTTATGATTTCATTTTTTGCTGTTGGTCCCCCTCATATGAGCTCCATTGGATTTCACCTCCAACAACAATGACACAGGAATAATATGTTAATTTTGCAGAGAAAAAAAGAAACTAGTTTTTATTATATAATTTTGATGTTAAAATTTAATGCGAACATCAAAATGTTCATAACTTTCCCCCAAAAAAGGCAGATAGTTATTATATTCCCAAGAGCTGCAAGGGTCAAAGGGCAGCTACATAATCTACAATTACCGGTAGTTGTATCCAGAAATAAAGATTCATATGATTTATGCAAACAATTAATTATATTTCTTAGATACATTCTAGAAACAGACCCCCTATGTCTCCCTTTGTCGTCATTATCATTAGTAAATTGTGGCGAATATTATGCATATTTCGACTGCAAATATTTAGATAAAGCAAATCTTAGTGTCAGCTGATAAGGTGACACTACAAATTAGTAAAAATTCGTACAAAAATATTGTTGTTTGGTTTGAAGTTAAAAAAATAACTTTAATTAAACAAAAGGCTAAAAATCCTATATTTTATTTGGATTTTTATGAATTTGTTGTTGTTTTTTAGAATCTCAGTTGGTCTTTTCGGCTAGAATTATGTACATTTTGATTTCTATTCATAACCTGCACCAAAAATCAATACAATAATTATTTTTAATTATATATCTTAAATACCACTACTTTATTAATATTTATTTCTTTTTTCTAGTTAACTTTTAGTGCTGGTATCTACACTGGTATTTATATCAGTCAAAATTATGAGGTAATTTAAAATATTACAATACAAACGTTAAACATTATTTTAACAAATATTTCTCTTTTTTTAAGGTTCCTCGTGTTGATGAGCCAAGTAAAATAATTGACAAAATTAAAGAATTGGCCGATGAACACCGTAAAAAGTAATTACAATTTGTATTTTAGTTGAAAAAAATTGCAAACCATAGTAAATAATAATAAAAAGAAATATGATGTACCTACTGTAAATGTGTATTTTTTTAAATTTGTGTTTTATATTTATATGTGTACATTAAGGTTTAATTAAAAAAATAATAAAAAAATACTTTAATGACAAAAAAATATATACATTTTAGGCTTAAGTCGTGGATCATTTGGAAAATTGTAAAGTTGGGGTCGGAATTCATAGATAACGATTCTTTCCATCATAAAATAAATGGAATATAGCCATTAATTGAAATAAATATCCCACTTTTTTCAAATCGCAGCTTTTTATAGAATAGGCAGAAGTCGTGTAAAACTAGGTTCGTTTAAAATGGTATCAAAGGGAAGAAAATTAATTCGTTTATATCTTGTCTGTAAGATGTTTTCAAAGGTCTCGTGTGGATAATATCTATTTAACATCCTTCAAATTGTTGAAAACACTTATTCTACAGATTTTGAATCTCACTCAAACTCAGAATAATATTGTTAAATGGATAATAATTACCATAAGTCATAAGCAAAAGAATGAGGTTATGCGGCGCGATTATTTTTGTTAAACAGCGTTTTTTATCTTCCTCAAATCCGAACCATAGCATTGCAAATATATTTCAGTAAATCATTTTGTAACAACTAATGACAACCAGACCCCTCCGTTCTATGGAAAATGAACAAACCAGGCACAATCTCACTGGCACAAGCAATGATAATTTTTTTTCTCGAGGCTACTTGAAGGCTAATCCAAAAATCGTGTATATTTAGACTACGAAAATTTCAACATTGGCAATATATTTTTAACAAAACTTGCAGTAAAATCCAGTTTATTAAAATCGTGTATATTTACAATTTCATTGCCTTCATATTAAATCTTTAGTATAAGGGATTAGTTTTTTAAATACAACAAATTATATTTTTAATTAAAAATTAGATTTTTCAAACCAACAAATTGGTGACGTATCAGCACCAAATAAGAATCTATTTACAAATATAAAAATACGTACTTTTAATACTAATATCCTGAAGTTACAAAATCTAGACCTCAATTAGACCTTGATCTACACATATTTTATATTGCAAAATAATATTTCTTTTTACTTATTTCAATCTTAACATTTTTCTTATTTTTACAGGTCCCCGGCTGAGCAGCTGTTACACGATGTCAAGAAAAATGCCAAGAAAATTGTTGACTAAACTGTCTTGGGAATGTCAACTCTTAATAGAATATAACCTATATGCATAGAACAGTTAATTACTTGTAATAGTAAATTTTTTATTGTAAACGATTTTTAAATGTAAACTTGTGTTTTAGATTTTTTATTAATTTTAATTTTTTTGAATAAATTTTTTTGAACTATAAATAAAAACTGACAGTTCAAGGAAATGTGATTTATCAATAAGCAATTCAGAAAATTCGAAATAATGGGCCTCATAGATCATGTTCCAGGCTTTTGAAGGGTTTTATTTTTTTTTTTTTTTTTTTTTTTTATAGAACAGACTGAAGTCGTGTAAAATTCGGTTCGTTTAAAATAGTACATAGGGAAAAATAATTTGGTAAATTTTATTGTCTGTAAGATGTTGATAGAAGTCTATTACGTATTTGACAGTTTCAGGGCAAAGTAATTCAAAAATTCACAATACTGGCCACATATATCATGTTCCAGCCTTTTGAAGGAATTTAATTCAAATTAAAATCGCATGCTACCTGTAAAAATTAGCAACATTTCTATAGCTACCATGAAATGAACTACCAAAGATAAGACTCATACCCGAGCGACCCAATTTTTTCATGGACTCAACTTCTAACAATTCTTGCGGTTCTTCAACAATCAAAAGAAATTAATAAATCATTGTCCATAATCAAATTTTATTTATTTGCAAATATCATAAAACATATTCCACTTTCTTTATTTAGCTATTCTCCGAAAATAAAAACATTTTCTATTATAACGTTAGGGGGCAAAAATGCATAATACACGTACATTTATATTTATAGTATTACTAGCTCTTATAATTATGTAGTTGCTGCACAGACTGACTGATTTTAAATAAATGACACCCCACCACCATAATATTCTAAACGTGTCTGCGGTTCCACAAATGCCAGCCAATCGGATGCATGTGTCGGCAACAAACCCATACTATTACATTTGTACAGTGCCACAGCAACATTTGCCAAATTACCCAAAAAGTAAACCAATTTCTGACCCGTACCCTGTGCACCTTCGGCCATTTTCGAGGTAACCTGTGTAGAGAACATTGCCTTAATGGGACGTATTAAACTCATGCCAATCATCATAATTGGGAAAATGGAGATGGTATTGCCGGACATGTACATGATAAATAAATTCATGGGTATCTGTAAATAATAAGTTTAATATTTATCACAAACAACAATAGATGAAAATAGTTACCTGTTTCAATGGTCCCAATGCCAAATCCCAGGATTTTTTCATAACCAAACGTTGATCTCTAACAACTTCCGTTTGATTGACCATTGCACTGGGGTTAAAACCGATTGGTGCAGGCAAGTCATTAGATTTGCTTTGGTGATGGAAGAACAGGAAATTTAATAAATGTGATTGTTGCGGTATTGTTGTTAATCGACTTACTTGCTATTGAAGTCCAAGGACCATTTGCTTTTCTTTGATGCTTGTTTCGACATGATTTAGTAGAAAATTTAATTAATTTATTTCAATAAATGTAAAACAATTATACGATAATCAGCAAGTATTTTTTTCTTTTGACAGCCACCAAATGGCATGCAGTGACAGCACTATTTGTCAACAATCAGCTGTCATTTGTAACAGCCTGCATTACACATAATAAAAGCGTAAGCGTATTGACGCCTGCCTGTTGTACGTTGTGGCAGTAAAACAAATCTTAACAGAATTGGAGATATTTTCGTGATGTTTTATCAATAAATTGATTTTGAAAGTAATAACAAAATATTCCAAAATATTTTTCTTCTCAATAAGTGTCTCAACTACACCCGAAACTCCCATATAACTTTATAGACAGAATTTAAGAATTTTAAGTCGGTTGAGTTATAACTCGGGCACTTTAAGGGTGGACCAATATTTTGACATCGACAGATTTTGAAGATCTTAACCAAACATTTCATCCTAAACTGATTTTAATGGTTTTCAATATAAGGTTATTAGCTCTAACAGACCATCTATATCGATAAAGAACTTTTGAGCGTTTCATCCACATTTTCCGATGAAATTTGCTATAATATGGCATTTGAATTTATTAAATACATACCTCGTTACAATTTACTATTTGATAGCTAAAGATTTTCAAAATTTCGAAACCTTAGCAACAATTAGTAACCGAATTAAGAACAAAATCTCTATCCCGGGTATTAGTACATCCTCCATATAACAAGAGCAAAAGATTTTCGAGTAATGAATGCGATTATAGAATATTTGCAGGTTTGGAAAACCCCACTCCAATTCTTAAGTCTATAGATCATAAGATTATGTTTTCCAAATTTATTTTTATCTGCATTGTGATCAACCAAACCGCATGAGTAAATACTAATGAAAAATTTACAGCGATATTTTCTTTAAAGAAAATGTTTTCACCCTCTGAGACCGATAAATATTTGCGTGGGTATGTTAATTTTTATTGGTTTAATTTTGCTTTGTTATCCATTTAGAACATAAAAATTAAAATGAACTGAAAAAGAACTTAACAGTGGCTCCTGTTTCAATTTTTCTAAAAATAAATCAAATTCATAATGTCTTTGTGTCTGAAAGGATTAAGCAAAAAAGAAATTAAGAAAATGCTCTATTCTATTTCAATACTACGTTTAAAGTAGTTTAATTAGAACTTAAAAGACACTCGTGTTATTGATATTTAGAATTGAGTTTTTAGAAAATGAGGTTTTGAAATTTCATTTGGATTAGGGGTCCCTCGACATCTTTTTAGTCATAGTTACAACGAACTCTTCAACACAAATATCGACAATTTTACACATCTTCCTTCGAAACCCCATAAATTCCACTTAGGTAATACTTTCTCTCTTTTCGGTGATTTGGCAATTAAAGATGAAAGAAACTCTTCATTTTATTATTACACAGTTTTTTATTTAAATTTTATGTTTCTTCTTCTTTTTTTAATTATATTTAAATATAAAGTATGTGTTGTAGTTGGTTTTTTGTTGTTGTTGGTTGTAGAATGCTGTTGATGTTTACTCTGTTTTAGCAAATAAAAATATTGAGTTTTTTCCTTATATTTTTGCTTTGATACACAAGTTGTTTGTTTTTTTTTTTTCTTTTGTTTCGGGATTGGAAAAATTAAGCAATCAATCAATATAATTTTATATATAGACACAAACGAACAATATATATAGACAATAAGAGAGTGTAAAAAAGAAAGAAAGTTGTAGTTGGGAAAATGTGAAACGAACAACACAAGCAATAAACTCTCTCGTCCAGGGGTTGATGGTGGTGGTATTTGGAGATACAACGAGAGATTTTTTTAGAAATAAAACAAAAATACACAATTATTAAAAAAAAATTAAAATTAAAAATATATTATATGTATAGAGATAAAATTATACTTAGAAAAAGTGTGTTTTTTTATATAATTCCGTAATTCTTTATAGTTAATGGATTTATCTTTTTTGTTTGCTTTAACATACAATTATTTTCATAGTTTTGCATTTCATTTCAATTTTGTTAAAATGTTGCTTTTTTGTTTTTTCTTCTTACTGATCGAGCAAAAACAGACTACAAACGATGGATGTGTTCATTGGTTGTCTTTGTTTGTTGTTTTTTAATTGTCTTTAGTCTAATGAATGAAAAAGGTGGTGGACTTTTTCTTCGAATTGCTGTTATTGTTGATGTTGGATGCGCTCAAGAGAAATTAATTATTGGAGTCTCTCTCTTTTTGTTTTTTGTAATGTAACATCCCTCCTCTGAGTAAGGGAGTTGTGTGGGTGGTGGATGGTATATACTGAAATTGGTTGTTTGACGCTTCTTTTTTGTTTGTTTGTTGTTTTGTTTTTTGTAATAACTTTATTTTCGGGTTTTTTTCTCTTTTATTATTATTATTAAATCAAAATTAATTATTTTTGTATGTTATTTGTTGTTGTTGATTTTGTGGTTGTTGTTTTTGCTGCTGCGGATGCTAAGTTAAAGAAAAATAAGAATTTCATTTAGCGATTAGCGTTCTTAAGCTGATTGGACAACCAATCAAGACCCTCATATAGACCATCGCCGCTGGTTGCACACGTCGCCTGAATGTACCAATTGCGGTTTCTTAGTGAGTGTAGGCCGAGTTTATCGGTAATTTCGGCTGCATTCATTGCATTTGGCAGATCCTAAAATGAAAGAACAAAACGTATATAATAAAAATATCATTAATCTATGAATATTTTTTTATTAGGTCTATAAAAAGAAATGTTGAATATTTAAAGATATGACTTGTTTTTGTTTGATATTGAATAACAAAAACATCATTCCAAATGATATTGAGTCGTCTCAAAACTCTCCAAATTGTAGTTTTGTAATTCCGGGAAAAATAACAAATATAAAATACATTTTTAATTAATGTATTGTGTGAAATTTCCGTTTTTGTACATATGCATTGTTATCTAGACAGCATATCTTATCAAATATATAACAACAATAAGTACGAAAAAAACGATAACATGCTATAACTATAACATATAATATTATCGGCAACAGCAATTTTCATTATTTTGAAATGCTTTGTCATTGAATATCGTCTATTAATTTACTGAGATTGAGAGAAACTCACCTGTTTGTTTGCGAATATAAGTAAAACAGCATCTCTGAGCTCATCTTCAGCCAACATACGCATTAATTCTTCTCTCGCTTCGCCGATACGTTCTCTATCATTGCTGTCAACGACGAAGATGAGACCCTGGAGAAGAAAAAAAATCACACAATAAATTTTTAGTACTCTAAATTATATATAGGGGGATTTTTAATTTTTAACACTTACTTGTGTATTTTGGAAGTAATGCCTCCACAATGGACGAATTTTGTCTTGACCGCCCACATCCCACACTGTAAAGCTAATGTTCTTGTATTCTACAGTCTCGACGTTGAAACCTATTTAAATTGAATAAAATGATATTTGATTTATATATAGTTTGACAAGATATGTGATTTTCTAACATACCAATGGTAGGTATCGTTGTTACAATTTCGCCTAATTTAAGTTTGTACAAAATTGTGGTTTTACCAGCGGCATCTAAACCGACCATCAATATTCTCATTTCCTTTTTACCGAAGAGACCTTTGAACAGATTTGCAAATACATTCCCCATGTTTGTTGTATGCTTTTTTCTTTTGTTGTTTAGGACTGTCGTCGAGTGTTCTTGTGTTAATTTATAGTATAAATATAAAAAAGATTATCTTTTCTATATTGTTTATATGGAATTCTGAAGTGTTAATATGTTTTCCTGCTGTTCCGAGTTAGCCGATGTGTTCAAAGAGCTCCACTCGGATATTAAGATCTATATCTGTAAAAAATAGAGCAAAAGAAAAATTAAATTAGAAAAAATTGCAGAAAAGTATAGTATATGTGTAATAATTTTGAAACAGTTTATCGCAGTTAAGAAAAGTATGTAGTTTGCCCTATAATCAGTATGTACAAAGTTAGCTGCTTTCTCGGAAATATAACAAAACCACAATCATATTATTAGCCAAAGCCATATGTGCAAAAAATACGTTGATAACGATCAAGAGGTTTGAACGGATTAAATACCATTCTGGTATATTAATATGCAGATATTGAAGTTTTTGAATCAAATCGATTTTATTAAAAACAAATCGACTTGATTTTCTAAAATTTATAATTCGAAAGTAATAGTTTAATATAAAATATGTAATAACTAAGGAAAAAAGACAAGCCGATTTAATAAAAACATATAAAATTGTTGATATTTAGAATTTAATAGGAAACGTATTCCCCCCATAAATTCAAATTACGTTCCAGACATATTCTGTAACAAACATTATTGATAATACCCCCAAAAAAAGAGAGCAAGTAATACGAGATTGTGATAAATAAAATTGTGTCATACCAGTATGGGCGCTAACAGAACAAACACACACACGCTCAATCTTGATATGTGTGCTAACTATATGCAAACCCTCTGAGGGGGGAGCTAGGAGGAAATTCATAATATTATGACTACACAAAATGTTTGTACCAAAACGTGGAGATATTAGCACTCACACAAACACATATACAAAACGATATCTGTCGATGTCTACATACTTGCGGACGTCTAACGTCTCTATATAAACCGAAAATGTGACACAGATTTTTAGAATTCTATTCCAATGTTGTTGATAAAGGAAATGGTGCTCTTGGATGATTCATTCATTCATTTGAGATAAAATTTCACAAAGCTAACGGTGAGGAAGTGATGTTTGTTAAAGTTTGCACACTTTAAAACTCGTTTGCTAATACCTTATTTTTAGGCATTAAGACGACGGCCATTCGAAGATGTTAAAAACGTTAACATTTTATGGATTAAAATAAAAAAATGTTAACACTTCTTTTCTCGTCTTGTAGAAGGTTTGAATTCACTCTCTTTATGTAGTAGACGGAAATTAATAGTAAACTTGTAGTAATTATATTAATAAAAAATAACGCAATCATGTGTGACTCTTGTTTGTGTTCCTTCTTTTTGTGATGGCGTTTTGTGCATTGCAACACCACATACGTAGTACAAACAATGACAGCGGTTTATGTCTAAATGCATTTATGCTCCAATTAATAATTTTAATTTCTTTATTTATGGCCGTATCTTATATACCGTTCATATAATAAAAATAAAAACTTTAAAAGTTTATCAATTTGGAAATTATCAAATTCAAAATTTGCTAAACAAAAGTACGTAACTACAATCCAATTATAGTACTACAAAGTGACTAATAATTATCCGATTGAGACTAAAATTTGTATAGCGTACCGAATTGAGTCCGGAGTGATATGTATTAAGTTTTGTTGAAATCGGTTCAGATTTAGAAATAGCACACATTTTCGTCCGATTTTTGTAAATCTCTCCTCCCTATATTTATTTCGATTTGCACGAAATTTTGCAAAGTGTACTCAATTGAGTCTAAAGTGATGTGTGTTAAGTTTCGTGAAAATCGGTTCAGATTTAGACATAGCTCCCACACATATTTTCATCCGATTTTGTGTAAATCGTGCATTAAAGTCACTGTATTTCTTTAGATTTGCACGTAGTTTGCCATAGTGTACTGAATTAAGTCTAGAATGAAGCGTGCTAAGTTTCGTGAACATCGGTTGAAATTTCGATTAGTTTAAAAAATGATTAATTTAAAAAATGAAGAAATGCTTAAAAAAAACGAATTTTGGTGAACCGCTATATGGGGTCCACCGTAAAAAAATGGCCGATATATCTCATTTTCAATACCAAACTTCCCAAAAGTAACATAAATATATATTAAGAATATCTATCTTCAATTTTTGCGATTTATGATGTCGATATATTATGATATTGTATGTGTTAATCTGGAATTTGGAACTAATTTTGAAGCTGCCTATATGGGTATCATGTCAAAGAGTGTTAGGTGAGCTTATTTAGTTTTTATTGGGTCATATAATTCACAACGTTGCATTTTAAGGATAAATTCTAACATCCACTGGTAAACGCCTTAAATCAAAACCCGTCACCATAGTCAAAACCCCTGTCAACAAAATGGTGTATGAACCTGTGCCTATCCGAGAGCTTACAATATATTGGCAATAAAAACTATTTACAAATATACTTATAATTCACGTTCGGTGGATTTGTAATAAGAAACATTTTTCCCTTTGCTCGGTTTTGAAGACAAGTAGGAAACAAGCAAGCTTTTGGAGGAACTTTTCTCGGAAAGTATGAAACTCTATAAAAAAAATGATTTACTTTAAGGCATAAGTTAAATTTAGTAGCAGAATTCAAATGGAACCAAACATTTGTAACACAGTTCGTTCGGTCTTGGAATGCTAATTATCGAGGCTTACATCTTGTGAGATATGTTCATTCCAAATTGGTAAATACAACAAAGGTTTTAAAGATGTAAATTGTGGTTTCTGGAACCAATCTTGGATTTATGGGTAGGTTAACATTCATTTAAATAAATTTAAATTGTTTTTCTACACTACTTCTATATTGGCTATATATTTAAGTGTACGAAATCCGCTTGGATTAAATGTATGTGTAAATAACTTCCTAGGTATATCTATGGTACAATTTTTAGTACGATCTGATACCACCAACTTCTTTCTATAATGGATATATATTTATGTGTGCGAATTCCGTTTAGATTGAATGTATGTATGCAACCAACTTCCAACGCGTATATTCAAATTGTTCCCAAAGATTTTTTTCAATATAATTTTACGACACATGGTGTAATTATTGTAAACCTTGGTCCACTACCATCCTGTAAATATACTGAAGAAAAACATATGGTTTAAAAAATTATTCCAAAATATTTGATATCCGACAAAATCCTGGGTGAGATCTTCATGTTCACATAAACTACAAAAAAGCAACATAGTATTATTTTCAAAATGATCTGTGTAATACAAACATATTCCGCCAATGGACTCCAAAACAGGTGACTTGATATAAGATTATATTTCCAAATTTAAATAAAGTAGTTATCGCTAATACAAAACTTTAATCATTTTCATACGCGGAAACTGAGAATTTCGACGACTTTGGTTTATCAAAGAAAGTAGATAAAAAAGACAATGACGTTGAATAAAAAAAAATATACAGAAGACAACCAACCAACCGACCGCCAGCAGCAGCAATAAAAACTTTACACAAAAATTGAACACACACACTAACGCCAGACCGACGACCAGACCTAAAGAAGTAGAATGTATGATGAAGAAAAAAAAAGAAGTATGACAAAAGGGGGTTAAAATACACGACGAATGAAAATAGTTGAAGAAATATATGAAGTGAGTCAGCAGAGCCCTGGTATTATTTTGAAATTATCGAAAGACCAAAAATAAAGATATACAGGTTGTATTAATTTCAGAAGAAAAAAACACCAATTTTGGCTGGAAAAAAATATCCGGAACTATGTGAGGAGTACATGTCTTCTTTTTTCCAGTTTCTTTTTTTTTTTTTGCTTGCGTAGCTTATGAATAGAAAATTGAAACGAGACACAGCAGCAACGCCGCCACCTTCTTTTTTTAGAATCAAATATTTGTTTCTAGTAATTTCCTTGATAGTATTCATACACAAAATGTTTACCGTTTTAACCACTTATTCTCACAATGCACTCTTTTGGTAATTATCCAGTAAATTTTTGTCTAAATATTAATTATTATTTGCCAACAGCAGCAGCAGCACCACCCTACGTCCGTCCACCACGAATACGAAAAAAAGAAACTAAACTTAAGAGTGTGGTGGGAATGAGCAACACAAAACGGAGGTTTAAAATAAAGTTGTGATGACAGCAGCAACAACAACAACTGAAAGGCAGTAAATAATTCACCACAATTATGATGACGGCGACGTAATTTTTCTTCTATTTAATATTTCTTTGGATTTTCGGCAATTTAAAAAAATATCTCAATTATCATGGAAAATATTCATAAAACATTTAAGTGCATAGGCCGGATTGAGCAGGAATTGTCAACAGAATACTCGAGAGAAAAATTAATAAAACACGTATTAATCACGGCACTTTTTCTCTTTGACAAGACGACAGACAAAAGGGAAAAACCCGATAGTTAAAATGTCTAATTATTTCTTTATTTCTCCTTTTTTAATTTCTTTTTAGTAAATTCATAGAAATTGCAGAAAACTAAAACACATTTTTCTCTTTTTTTCAATATTTTTTTGATAATTACTTTTTTTTTTTTGTTTGAGGGAAAAAACTGTTCGCAGGTTCACAACTTTTTTTCAATGTTAATTTTTTCAACAATGGAGAAACAATGGTGAGAATAAATGACTGACGACAGCGAATGAAAAGACAAATTGAGTTGTTTCACTAAACGGTGTTGCCATATTTAAACGACATGAACATTGAAACAAGTGAAAAACAAAGAAAGGCCTGGTGGCAAAACTAAAGAACATAATACACACATATATGAAAAACCATTTATTTAAAATTTACCAGAAATAAACTGCAAAAAGAATAAAACAATGCGTAATTAATAAAAAAGACTATACATCTAGCATTTAGTTAATATACTTCACGCAAATACAACTCTGACATTATGTGCAAAATATATTTTGCCAATTGCTCTAGAAAGAGACAAAACCTGCTATTCTGTTATTCACTACTCAACGACGAATACGAGAAATAAAATAAATACAAAAATTCACCACATGCCGATGCCGTCAATATAACAAGAATCAAAGATCAAATGGAAACCATGTTTTTTCATAGAAAATCCATAATTTTCCAGCACTAATCAATTTAACCAATAAATTTCAATATAACTGTAATACGCACCACTATGTCAAATTAAATGCACACAAAATTGTGCAGAAATTTTGTGAAAATCTCTACAAAAATTAATCAAAAACCGCACAGCAATACTGGAACTGTCTGTGAAAAAACTTCAAACGACGATGATAGAGACTACGAACACCAATTCATTTGCCGATAAAATTCATTCATTCGAAAGAGATGGCAATAGTGCATTCAAATAAAAAGCTGCCACGTCGTGTTTCAACATGCAAAGACAGTTGAAAGTGCGGAAAAGAGGCAAACAGACATTTGCATCACGGAATTAGAGTTGCCACTCTGGTGTCACAAAAATGAAACGCCATCGCCACCACCATCAACGACGGCGACGACGTTACACCAAATTCTATGCTTGCACAAAAAAATCTCTTCTTTTTCATCCATTTACACATACATACACGCCTTATAGTCTTTCAAATATGTTTTATCCAAAATCACCTTTTATACGTTATCCACTTGTCGAATCACAATTATGTAAGGGGAATGTAAGTATACTGGTTATTGTCACAATCACCACAGCTTTTATTAATAATTTTAATTTAATAATTAATTCGGATGTGTCTTTCTTCCGTGAAAATAAACAACACGTACAAAAGAACAATGCTCTTAATTGGAGTTGCCCTATTGCTTTGTTGCTTAGTGAATAGAGTTAGCTGGTAATATAGTGAATGAAAGGCGGTCATATTAAGGCGTATGGCGTAAAGCGTATTTGTGTGAAGTTGTATAAGATTTTAGTTCATTTGATTTTTGTTTATCGCAAATATGCGTTTACATTTATGCATTTTAACGCAATCAAGTGATTTATTATGATGGATAGGCGTATATTACATATACGTCAAGTATATCTTCGAAATAATTTATTAATGATTTATTTTCTATATATTTTACATCAAATGTCTATTTCAAACGTCAAATGAATCCTATTCGTAATTCCAGTTGATTTTATTTTATGTATGCACTAAATATTTGACATTTTAAACATTTGTTAGAACGTAGGTCGTTTAAATATTCTCTGGGAATTCTTTATTTCAAATAGTTCCAAAATTTGCTTTATTTGGATTTTTATGTTAATAAACATTAAAACATTGGTATATGTTAATAAACATTAAAAGTTTTGTATCATTTAACCATATTTGTTTCAGAATCTGCAACGAAAAAAATTTATATAGAGCCGAAAAGCATGTCTGTTCTGTTTTTTTTATTATAGTGTCTGCCCTTATTTCATTAACTTATTCAACTAACTTTTTGTACTGTTTATGTTTCAGCTTACATTGTTAGATGACCTACTGCCCTGGTTATGTAGGGCGCCATCTGTCACCACATATCGTGTGAATCTGTTAAAAACAACTCAGGAAACTTTTAAGACTCACGTCGAACAAATACTCAAAAACCGCTATAACAATCCACCTAAAGTTTTTTCCCTTCCCGACCTTCCAGAAGTTGTTTGTATATCACCAACAGATCATGCGCCAAATCCCATACATGAGCAAAAGGAAATAATTGTAGATAGTTGTTGTGGTGCCGCTATACTCAGGGGCGCACATATTTATAGCATTGGTGTGTTGGGTATGGAATCGGGCACTCAAGTTGGCGATGTGGTAAATGTGTATGCTGATCTAGCTGGAAAATGTAAAAAGGGTTCCAATGTTCGTTATGAATCCGATCAAAAAGTATATTTGGGTCAAGGTAAAGTACTCATGCAACGATATCAATTGTACAGACCTGAAGGTCCTCAGGCGGGGGTTGCAATTGAAATGTTGAACACCATATCGGGTGTGCCATCAATTGGCGATTTAAGTAGCACAGAAGCTTTACTGCAAAATTTACCATCCATTATTTGTGCCAGATCACTAAACCCCCAAGAAAATGAAACCATTTTGGATATGTGTTCAGCGCCTGGGAACAAAACCACACATCTGGCTGAACTTATACACAATCGTGGAGTTATAGTGGCCTTAGATAAAACAGAATCCAAAATCAAATTGGTTCAGGAAAAGATATGTAAAAATGGGTTAAGTTGTATAAAAGCCTATGCCCACGATTCAACACAGGCTCATTCGGAAACTATTCAGGAAAATGATGTTGATTTTAAACCACCATTTAAGGCCAAAACATTCGATCGTATATTATTGGATGCTCCCTGCAGTGCTTTAGGAAATAGGCCAATGCTGTCGAGCAGTATATCTCCAAAAATGTTGGATTCCTATCCCAAAGTTCAAAAACGTTTGTTTACAAATGCGGTGGCGCTATTGAAAGATGGTGGCACTTTGGTTTACAGTACATGCACAATAAATTTGGAAGAGAATGAAGAAATTGTAGTTTGGGCTTTGAAAACATTTCCCGAATTGGAATTGGTAGCCATTGAGCCCTCGTATGGAGGTAGCGGTTGGAGCTGTGATGGACTGTTAGAAGAGGATCGTAAGAAGTTGCAACGCTTTGGTCCTACCAATCAAAAAGACATAGACACGGTTGGATTTTTTATAGCAAAGTTTATCAAAAAATGTTAAAAATTATAATGTTTTCATATAAGAAATACATGTTGAAATTTGCTTTGAATTTAAAAGGTTGTGTTTCATTTTTAATTACCTTCATATGCACTGAAGAATATCGTTATAGACCTGTTTAGACCATTTCGAATAAAATAAATAATAAAACAATTTTGTATATTTAAATATTAGGTTAGCTTATAAATTAATGTTTATCTTTATTAAGGGATTTTAATCATTTTAATTTAAAAATAAACGAAATGTAATTCTATGCTTGCGATTTGTTTTCTTCTATTTTGTGTGTATGTGTTGTTTTCTATGTAAATCCGACAATTGATTACATATGCTTAATTATTTATGTATATCCACTAAATTGGATAATTATGAAATGGTTCATCCACTAGAGGAGAATTAAATGATTTGTTGCAGGAGCAGCAATTGGTAAAGTAAGTTAAAACGATAAGATAATGTAAAACAACTTAACGACGAAACGAAAATTTAAATAATTTACAGTATTTTGCTTAAAGAATTGAGGAGATGGATAGATGATTAAACAGTTTACAATTGTGTTTGCCTTCAATACAAAATGTTATTAATGGATACTCTTATAATAATGACCTCGCAACAATGTATCTCTTGCTTTACAAATTAGCGGTATCGGGAAGTGTGTTGGTAGTGAGTGATGACTCTAAATCGTAAGATTTTTAATTCTATCTATCACTATTTAAATTAAGCTGCAATATTTAGAGCCTTAAACTCATCGTCGTGCATTTCGGTCATCATAAATGTGCCATCTTGTAGAAGTAAGACAACTCGTCGAGTTCCACCTAAAGTAAACAACAAAACAAATATTAAAATTCTGTTTAATTATTGAAACTCTTCCTTTGACTTACCCGGTGATGGTAATTCCGCTTGTACCACCTCAGCTGGTATATTGGCTTGTCCATCTGAGCCATCTCCGGTTTGTATACATAATTGATTGGTGGCTGCTGGAGCTGCATTTGCGGCCGCCGCCACTGCTGCTTGGTGTTGTTGCAATTCAGCCTCAGTCATTGTCACCACTTGGGTGGTGCCATCTTCCTGGGTTGTTTTGACCAAATACTGACCACCTCCGTTACCAGCTTCACCTGCAGCCACAGCTGCCAGAGCTTCTGCTTGTTGATCGGCTGGCAACTGGGCTACAGCTTCGGCTACAGCAGCGTTGTCTATGGCAAAGGCTTGATTCTCATTTTCACCTTCGGCTGCGGCAACATATGCAAAGTGTTGTTCGCCATCTGGTCCTTGCGTCACTAGAATAGTTTGACCTTCAGCATTTTTACCGGCGACCTGATAAACGGTGCCATCTTCACCAGTAACAAGTAGTGGTGTACCATCTTCGTTGGTCAGCATTTGATCCTGGGTGAGCAGCAGATTGGGGTCTATATCATGTAATTGTTGCTGCTGCTGTTGTTGTTCTTGCTGTAATGTTATTTGATGTTGTTGTTGCTGCTGCTGTTGTTCTAATTGTGCTTGCACATGAATATTTTGCTGATCCTCCTGCTGACTTCCGCCTATAATGTTACCTGTAATAGGACACAGCCTTGCCTGATGTTCTTCTTCTTGCTGCTGCTGTTGCTGATGGTGATGAACCACTTGATGTTGTTGCTGGTGAATTGGTTTTCTTTGAGCCATGGGAGAATTACGTTGGGCGGGACCAGACAATTGCTGAACTTTCTGTATGTGTACTTGAGACTGCTGCCGTTGTCTCTGTTGCAGCTGCTGATGTTGTTGTCGTTGGGCGACCACATCTTCCCGTGTCATCACTTTCTTGGTAACTTTCAGATCACCCGATTTAGAAAGTTGTAATATTTTCTGTTCTGGTGTCACCGCCTTTTGTTGTGCCAATCTTGGCGTACTTGAAGCTGACATTCCCTGACGCGGTATAATCATTCTTCCAGATGACGGTGACGCCTGAGACATGGTACGCGATTGCAGAGTACCGCCTGGGCCTCGTTGTATTGAATTACCTGTTGCTGGTACACTCTTACGCTGGATTGTTGTTCCGCTTGGAGTGCGAACAATTTGTTGTTGTACCATTGGTCTGGCGGCAGGTGTTGGTGTTGACCGACCCGTCGGATTTGCGGCGGTGCGAACATGTTGAGTTCGCGTAATCAATTGTTGGGTTTTGTTTTCGGCAATAGGTGTAGTATGTGGCGAGGCTAATGGGGAAGATGTTGCATTGGTTATGTCATTGACACTTCCAACACGCACAATGCCGGAGTTGGAAATGGCAGATTCACCTTTGGAAAGGATACGAACTTGAGCCTCAGGTTTGTTATTCTAAATAAGACGGAAGGTAGCAATTAAATCAAATGAATAAAATTATTCGATAAAATACTTACAGTGCCGGTACCAGTGAATCCTGGTTTCTTGACAACACCTGACGCGCTCGTGTCTTGGGTTATGATCACCTCCGCGGAAGATGAGGAAGTGGGCACAGTTGTTTGAATTTCGTTACGTGCCGTTGCAGTTCCATTGACTTTAATTTGTTTAGTCTGCCATAAAAATAGAGTTTATTTAATAAGTTATGTTTGATTGATTTCTGGTTATAGATTATACTTACAACATCGGTTTTAGTTTTAACTTCTACCGACACCGAGTTTCCATACTTCATTTTTTTCAAGGTATGGGATGGTATGAGGTCTTCCTCCAAATCCTCCATGGTGTTGGTTGTGCTTGCTGGCATTTCGTCAGCATTAGAATCATTGTAATCGGAATCATCCAGTTTACGTTTTAGGCCTCCCAACGGACCGGAACCTGTGCTGGTGTTCAGTGGCCAGTCTTTATCGTTTTCGTTTTGATGGGAGGCCGCATCCGAGTTTGGGGAATGGGCAGATGATACGGAATTTCCTGCAACCCACTGCTTTACCTGGTCCATGGCTTTGGTTTTAGACGAACGCTGTGGTCTATCCGATGGTGATCCCAGTTGTGATCTTTGAGTATCTAAGGGTGAAGCTTGCTGTGTTGGAGAGTCTTTAACAGCCACTTTGACTTCACCAAGTTTATTGCCTGGTGTGGGAGTTCCTGTAGCGGCCTGTTGTTTTGCTTGTAGAGCTGCTCGTGTTTCTTTTTGACGGGCCAGTTGCTTTTCGAATGTTTCCAATAGGTGTGGGACATTTTCCAAGTGTGAAGCAGGTTCCCAAGTATTTTGTTCTAATGCACGATTTTCCCATTTCACCAGATATTCGTGCATTCTGCGACGAGGATTAAACCGCTTGGCCACAATTTTCTCCACATTTTCCTCAACGACTTCTTCGCTATTGGGTACTGAACGTTTGGCACGACGTCTAATGGAATATGAAAAAACATTTGGAGGGGTAAATATAAAAAATATATAAATGATATTCATACTTACGTCAAGGGTTTACCAGCAGCAGCGGGTGTAGTGGCAGTTGTTGTTGTTGGTGGTGGTGTTGCAGTAGCTGGTGTTGGCTTGGTGGATAATTGTGGCGAGACTGTTATTGGTTTCTTGGGCATAATTTTTTGTACAGCATTATTTGCCAAAGGGCTTTTAAGCGGTGATGTTTCATTTTCAGAATCTGCTGTTGATTTGTTGCTAACATTCAATTTGACGGGTGGCTTGAGATTAGCCACTTGTGGTTTTGTTTGTGTTAGTGGTTCTGAAATATTGAAATCGAATTGTCATTGGTATTTTTTAATGTTTCTAATATGAAAATTACATACTTCTTCCCGGCGATATTCCATCACTATTTGCATTGCTGTTATTATTCACCACGGTCTTTGTAATCTTTACGGGCATTTCTTGCAGATTCCCCTGTGATACTTTGGCAAACGATTGTATAGTTTTACCCGCCACAATCCATGTTTCCCGAAGACTTTCATCCATTTTAACCCATGTCTGATAGAGTGCCCAAGAGTTTGGACTGGTGATGTTGTTGTCTTTATTGTTGTGTAGTTGTGTGGCTTTCCACAGCAAGAAAGCCCATATTTTGGGTTTGGTATCATTGCACTCACGAACATTATTGTTCTCTTTGAAGCATGTCTTTTGCTTGTGCATCTTGAAGTCTTCAATAAAATGAAAGACATTCAAACACCGGCCACAAACTAAAACATCCATTGTGGCCATTTCTTCTTGGGCGCCTGTTTAGAGAAATGTTTACATAAGTATTGAGTACTTTATGGACGATATGATGGAACTTACTTTTTATTAATTTGGCATGTTTGCCTATTTCAGTTGGAGAAATTTCCCGACCCACCATCTCAGAAAGATACAACTACACAGGCGACAGCTGAAATAAAAAAAACACACTTGTATAAGTAATGCAGCTTGCCAAGGATTTGATTCTTAAGGCGAAGGGAAAACATAATGACCACACTACTGCTTGGAGATATGTTTTAGTTCCCCTAACCACTATCACAATTTGGCGCCAAAAATTAAAAATAGTTTCGCGTTATAGTTACAAATACTTGGAATTTGTAAGATAAGGAACATTGTAAATTTTATAGAGATTGATAATTAAGGATCATTCGTAAAAATAATTACCGCAACAACTCATTCTTAGATTTAAGATCAAATTACTACAACAATTGGCCCCCACGAACAAAAACAACAACAATTTTGGAATCAAAAGTTAATAATTTATTGTGAATGCCATTACTCGCGGAGATTTAAAGTACAGTTGGACAAGTATAGTTCTCTCTCTCTTTTTTGCGAAAACGAAAATAAGAAAAATGAGAGAAATCACGAAAACACAATAAATTTAAGCGCAAAATGGATGCAAAAGAGTGGCAATTTAATGGAACTCCTCGAAGCGGCGCCAAATCTACAAAAAGAAAACAATTTTTGGGCAATGGTAAAAATACAACACACTTTCACGTATATTCCGCGCTTTCTACTGATAAGATTTTCAGCGGCCAAAGGGTTCTCGATTCGTTGATGTGGAGGCCAGCAGAGATTCACTTTGTGATGTCGCCGCGCAAATAAAACCACCGGATATTGTTGAAACTTTACAATATCTTTAAACAATTCATCTTACAAAATCATTCTTGCTTTACCTTTATTACCACACAATAATAAACTATCCGTAAATTCTTTTAAAACTTGTATATGCTTGCACAAAGTTTGTAGTCACAAATGTCACTCAGTGTCTTTAGTCTTTTTTTATTTTTCTTTAGATTTGCACTTCTATTATTTCTTTATTACACAAATATCCAATCCCACATTACTTCGCAATGTTTTACTTAAAATTATTTATGAGTCTAGCTTGTTTTAATGCATTTTAAATCAATTCTAATACAAAATTGTTCACCCGAATTTTAGAGAAGTCTGAATGAAATAAAACATTCAACTTTTTTTACTCGCACCAAAATTTTCCGTTCGCTACAAAATGGTGGCAGTTATCTGGCCAATCACAGCCAATCATGTGTCGAGTTGCAGTTTTCTCTCAGAGGGTAGTGTTTGACAGATCGTTGGATTGTGTTAAAAGTGTGAACCGCCCTACTGAGAGATTGTAAACAAAGTAAAGTTAAATAAAATTATCACGAAATTAATATTTATTTCAATAAGATGAACAGTAAAAATATGAGTTTATTTTATAAAAAGTTACAACAAATCAAATAGCTAATTTTCTCAGTAATTATTGATTTGTTATGAAGGATATTAGTTCATATTGAATGTCAACTGGACGATGAAAAGTAATGTGGCATGTGAACAAAAAATATTACTTTAGGTACTGAATCATGCTAAATTTATATATGAAGTTGTCATTTATTTGAAATAAGTATGAAAATCTATATTTAAAGGTAAGCAGATGATGATTTATCAAATAACCATGTAATGAAAATGTCTCTTGGTCCGCCTTAATTTATTAATTACATTTAAGTCGTATCGTTTATTTAAACAAATGTGTACACACATAAATACACAGATTCATTCCAGACTATTGTGTAAATATAAGAAATTGTATTTAGATTTATATTATTCATTAATTTTTAACTCATAGCTTACCACGTATTATTGTACCATGATTATTAAAAATGTAGGGTAGCATTTGTCAGAAAGGTGAAAGTACACCTCTACCTTATGGGCAATAATGTCAGAAAAAAATGAAAACAATGTTTTAAAATTCATCTTCAAACAAATCGATTTTCGAATATATTTTGTTAAATTTTTCACTTTGGCATAACACGCCACAGTATGAAAATATTGTAATTTTAAGGTTGCTATGGTCTACCTTGAATAATTGTACTAAGAGTTTACTCTTCTTTTTTTAAGTTGGTAATTGGCGTACCCAAATTAATGCCTTGTCTGAACGCATGTGTATGTCAGTATAACAGGCGTTAAAGTGCAAACAACGACGGCTACTTGTTTGCCGGTATTTGCCGCAGTATGACAAACATGACGCCGTTAGCCATCAACAAATGGTGTTATCGATTCACTTTGCATACCATGAAAGAAGAAGCTTAATACAAAGTATCAACAATGGATCACCATGGAGAGGAAGAAGATCCCAAGGAATATCGCTGGGAAACTGGCTATGAAAAGACATGGGAAGCCATAAAGGAAGATGATGATGGCCTTTTGGACAGCGCCATAGCGGATATTATTCAAAAGGCCAAAAGGAAGAGGCAGGCGCAAAAAACGATGCAAAATAAGCTTGGAATGATGCGACATTTGTACTTAATGTTGGACTGTTCGGAATCTATGTCGGTGCCAGATCTTAAGCCCACCCGACTTCTGTGTACACTGAAGGTAAGTTGTTTTCTATGGCTGTAATGATTTGAAGTTATTGTTTTATGTTCTTATTTAGCTTTTGGAAAAATTCATTGAGGAATTCTTTGATCAAAATCCAATCAGTCAAATGGGTTTAATAGTGCTTAAAGGAAAACGTGCCGAAAAGGTGACCGAGTTGACTGGAACAGCTAAATTGCATCTAAAGGCTTTGGATGGGTAAAGAATAAACGATTATAATAATTTATTCTATTTATTTTAAATTTAAATCCCTTTAGATTACAGAAAATAAATCTTGTTGGTGAACCTTCCCTGCAGAATGGCCTGGATTTGGCATTGAAAACGTTGAAGGTTGTGCCATCTCATGCCTCAAGGGAAGTTCTAATTATCATGGGTTCCCTTACCACATGCGATCCCATTGATATTAATTTAACAATTGATGCACTGAAGCAAGAGAGTATACGCTGTTCGGTTATATCCTTGTCCGCTGAAATACATGTCTGCCGCCACCTTACACAACAAACAGGCGGTACTTATGGAGCCGTTCTAGACGATTCACACTATCGCGATCAATTGCTGTCACACGTTGATCCACCACCTGCAGCCCAGACCCAAGAAAATTCTCTCATCAAAATGGGATTTCCACACGCACGACAGGATGAGGGTAAAGAAAAAGATCCACCATTATCGATGTGTATGTGCCACATTGAAAATGCCGATGAACCGAGTAAAATTACCTCAGGTGGATTCCATTGTCCACAGTGTCATAGTAAATATTGTGAATTGCCGGTGGAGTGTCAAACATGTGGTTTGACATTGGTTTCGGCGCCTCACTTAGCTCGTTCCTATCATCATTTGTTTCCTGTACAAAATTTCACCGAGTTAATTTACAATGGTCAGGCAGCAATTTGTTATGCCTGTCAGAAACCCCTCACTGAAGCTACCGATAAAAATGTATATCGTTGTGAGGCTTGCTCTCAAATCTTTTGCTTGGATTGTGATATTTTTATACATGAAACGTTGCATACTTGTGTGGGCTGTGTAACGATACCGGGTGCAGCGGCTCAGGTACATGCACGTAAACCGCAAGCACCACCAATGGGAATGATGTTGGGATCATCGTTGGGTCAACGATTTTAGGTGATGATGAAATTAAAAATTAATAATAATCAAATAATTAAAAAATACATACAAAATTAGTTTTATTTAAAAAACCATTACCATGGTAAAGGGGTGGATATAATATAGCATAGCCTTAGTATTTTTAGAATATATTGATTAGTTATTTAAAGCTATGCTTATATTGTGAATGGGTATATCATATTTTCTAATTACAAATTTATTTTTAAAAGCTGAAAATAGGGGTCTAATAATACATACCATATATGTCTATCCATTAAGAGAAATTCACATGTTCTCTTTATTTGTTGTTATTGCTCCAATTCAGTTCAAGCTCAAGTTCATTATCTAGAGGATATTTGTAAACAAATACAAATACACAAATGCTAGTTGCTTGTTCCTAATGTTGTTTAACTAAAATCACAAGCATTCTCAGAATAATTTGCACTAGCGATATGCATTCGCGCCAGTTTTGTCTATTTTAAGAGATCATATAAAAAAAGTGAATTATAATACTGGTTACTGGTATGATAAACAATATCGGTTAGCCTTTTGCTAATGAACAGAGTTGGCGATAAACGGGGTTTTAGTTTCATTTTAAAACATCTGCGGGTCTGTTGTTAGTTATTGATATTAAAAACAAAATTTGTGGTGTCTTATAGAGGTATGGATCAATTAATGAATCATGTATAGCAAGTGTTTTTAGTTGGAAAAAAGGGAATCATGTGTATAGTATGATAATAATTAAACATAAACAAATCAAAATAAATATGAAAACAATATATGATATATTAACAGTAACAAATGTTATAAAAAATAATAACAAATTAAATTTATATAAAAATAAATAAAAAGTTAGTGAAAAAGATAATCATTTACAAAATAATACAAAAATAATAAAACTAATAAAATAAATTAAAAAATACAATAAAAAAATAAAATAAATTAAAAATGATAATAAAATAAATAAAAAATAATAATAAAATAAAAAATATACTAATAAAAAATTAATGTAGTATAACTTTAACGGTTTTTCTGTTTCTAAATTTAACAGATTTCTTAGTTAGAAATAGGACATTTTTTTGTCCTATTACCTTCTATATATTTTAATTTGTTTATCAGTTTTATATTTTGTTCGTTTCTTACAGTAGGTCATGTATTTGTTTAAATCTTGTTTAAAACACAAACAAATTATCGATTAGTATAATGTATGCTTTATTAATTAAACACCTTCATTGTCTAGTTTTATAAGGAATATTCCAACTTCTCCCACACAAAACGAGTTTTGATTAGCATTATATATAAAAATATAAATTTATTAATTTGCTTTAAATGGATAAACGGAAAAGTTTATATGAATGAATATAGATAACAGGTTAATCGGTTTTGCCAATTTAGTTCAAAATTATATTAAACATGTTTAATAATTTTGTACGTCCTAATAACAAAAATGCATAGTAAAGAATTTGTTAACAAAAACCACTTTTAGCAACTCTAGCCACCATTCGAAGTATTTTCACCTTTGTGAAATGATGATTTCTTTTAATAAAAAAGAGAATTTAATTGTTTTTACAATCCATTCCTTTAACAAGACATTCAATGTACAATTCACACCATATATTTTTATAATAAAAGAAATCCGGAATCATTTTTTAATTAATTCAAAAATAAAGAAAAGTATGATCTCAGTCCTGATTACGTTTTTTTTAATGGAAACACAATTTCTTTAGTAGGCCACCTACAGACAGAAATATACAAACCGGTTTTATTTAAAAGGGGCTAATTGAGAAAATAAGTCACTTGATGTTTTAACCAACCAACCAGCCAGATGTCGGCAATCATCATGAACCATCATGAACCATTATCATCGGTAAATTTGCTTTAATTACTGCATAAATATTATTTTAAAATACAACAAATTAAATGTTAAAAAAAATAAATAAATACATTCATTAGAGGGCATATGTTAATTTGTTACAAAAAACCCAGCTGGCAAGAGATTCTGACATGACACAAAAAACGACACACAACACATACCGTTAAATTGTCCAGGGAGGTGTGACCGGCTCAATTCAAATTAAGCAGACGGCAGACGCAAAATTACAGAGCAGCAATTAAGCATATGTATTTGCAACATACAGTGGCTCCATCGCATAATCGGACACAAGGAATTTTTACTAAAATCAGAAGATTTTTGGAAGCAGGTAATTTGATGAAAGATCATTTTAAAATACATTTCTATTGATAGTTTTCATTATATTAAGGTTCTGTTTACTGACGAAAGCAAATTTAACTTGCACGGGTCAGATGGAAAGATGTATGTGTGGCGTAAGCCAAATGCTGAATTTAATCATAAGAATACAAAAGCCACTGTTAAGCACGGAGGAGGTTCTGTTATGGTTTGGGGCTGCATGTCGAGTGCGGGAGGAGGCAATTTGCATTTTATTGATGGTAAAATGGACAATTTTGTCTACCTCAACACTTTAAAGCAAAATGTAAAGCAAAGTGCAGACAAATTGGGTATCGCGAACAACTTTGCCTTTTATCAAGACAACGATCCCAAGCACACATCAGGTGTTGCAAAGCTTTGGTTGATCCATAACTGCCCAAAACTTATACAAACACCAGCACAGAGCCCAGACCTTAACGTAATTGAGCATCTTTGGGAAGAATTAGCTAGGAGAGTGTATGGAAAAAAATTTAACTCCTTAGTACAGCTTAAGGTGGCTTTACTGGAATCGTGGAACTCCATAGAGCCGGAGGTACGCCAGAATTTGGTCAAATCAATACCGAAGCGTTTACAGACCGTTCTGGAAAACAAAGGATATGCAACTAAATATTAATTTCTCGATTTTTTCATTTTTTAACATTGATACTTTGCTTTGTCCGATTTTGCGTTGAACACAATAAATTGAGTTAATTTTGTTTTTCTGACGAAATTTACTGTTATCACAAGAAAAGTTGTTGTTTTTTGTATTGTTCAGAAATATAAGTAAGTAATGTGTAAATAAAAGCGAAAAAACTACACATTTAGACAATTTTTTTGAAATGTATAGCATTATTATATGTGACAACCACTTGTCCGATTATTCAATGGAGCCACTGTAGCTAATAAAAAGAGGAGGCAGAGCGTGAAGGCGTTGGCGAGGCAGATTATCTATGACAATTTAAATAGTCGTTTTTTGTGGTTGTGGGGGTTGCGCTGACATTTTCAAATTGTGAAATCTCCACAGATAATTAACCTTGGCAATGATTTTTATTACTGAACCCCAAACATACTTAATTCAATGGCTGACTTGCATAGTGATATTTTTGAATAGGGAAAAAACTATTTGTCAGTTAAGACTAGAAGCTGGAGATATTGTCGAAATAAATCATACATAAAAATATGTCACATTCAGTTGCACGGAATTGTGCCAAATCTTGGATTACGTTAACGCAGATTGGTGTACAGTGGCTCAGGGTATAATATTACAAAGAAATGATATGACTTGCGATTAAATATAAAAAAAACAATAAACTATTTTTAGAAGTGTTTTTTTTTATTTTTATGGTAAAATATTTTTAAGTTCTATTAGATATTCTATTGGGCACATCATATACCAAATCTGTAAATATAATTCGAAATGTTGTTGTCGAAGGCCTGCAGAATTGGATAGCAGCCAATGGGTGGTTGTGAATTTTTGTGACGTTGGTGACAGCCCATCCAGTCCTGGAAAATAAAAAATTTGTATTAAATTGAAAAATCTCTTAAACTATAATTTTAAAAATGAAAACAAATCATTTTCTTTTTCAACCCAAAACCTAACTATTTTTTTGTAATTTAAATTACCAAATCATTACTAATTCTATTTGTTTTGTTTATACATATATACTAATTGTTCATCTATTTAGATTAATTTGCCTTCCCATATGCATAGAAACCGCAAAATCATCATAAATATATTTTGTCAATAATATTTTATGGATGCAGCAGTTACGATATATAATTTGATATAAAACCACAAACAAAATAGTTTGGTTGTTGCAACTCAAACTCTGGAGGGCAATTTAAATATTGTTTATGTGAGAGAAAAGAGGTAAAGGAAAATGTTTCTGTGTTGAATTAACTGCAATTCATAAATTTGTGATTTCGAAAAAGGCCAAGGGCCAATGTTTTATTAGAGGTTGCAGTTTGAAGAGGAACATTTATATATATATATATATATATATATAATTTCTTTATATTTAATATATAAAGAAATTGTATGAAAGTTTATTTAAAATTACAAATTTTTATACAGCCCAGAGTAACAATGGTAAAAAGACTACCAGGATGCTAATACTCCCTGTGACTTTGAGGCGAAACTTGACTCAATAGTTAAGAAAATAAAAAAAATGAGGTTCACCAGGTAAGAGGTTTGCAAGGAAGAATAGTTCTTGGAATTTTCAGATGATGTTTTACTTAAAAGTTAAAACAAATTAAAGGTCGAGCGCGGTTTTCAACCGAATTCGCTGAAATTTGTTATATTGGGTTCTTTTTTTGGTACTAAATTTCTGCACTAAAAATTATAAATATGGGTCCACATTTTTGTTAGCCCCCATATAACGTTACTTCCCGATTTTTTTTTAAATTTTGTGGGTTTTGATTGCATTTTTCGACCGAATTGGCTGCAATTTCGTATTTTGAGTTCATATTGGGTAGCAAATCTCTCTACTAAGGGGTAGCCCCCATATAAGGGTACCCCCAATTTTCGGTATTTTTGGGTTCTTGAGTGCGTTTTTCAATCAAATTTGCTGAAATTTGGTACATTGGGTTCTTATTGGGTACATTCTAGCAGTACGAGAAAATACCACTTGTGAACAAATAAGTTATTTTTGTATGGCAGGGCCAGGTATTCGTTTTCAAAAATTTTGCTATTTGTGGCTCTTGGCGCACAATGGGTTAAAATCAATATCAATATAAACACCTTTCTTTAAAAACAGGTATTCATCAATAGGGTATTCCACTACTTTTTTAAATAAATGTTTCAATAATTAAGCA